CATGATAGAACTATATGACTATGTCTAAGTAGCAGAAATTTCATTCCATTTGACTCTCTTTAAATATAGGATTAAAGTTCTATAAATTAGAATGCATTCTGTGTTGACTCAAAAACCTAAGGTTCACCAAAGCTTTCTGAGCCTACATTACTTCCATGAAATTATTAAAAACTTCACAGTATTGAGTATTAAATAAATGATTTAAGATATTAATAATGAAATCTATAAATGTAAACGAAAGCTTCTTACTAGCTAAAACATGTTTACATTATCTTACCTGTTTATTTTAGCTTACTTAGCCTGAGATTTACAGATACAAGTTTAAATCCATTTAACAATTACATAAATTCTTAATGATCACTTTTGTATAAATGAATTATTTATGGATTTTGATATTTTCCAAAGTTTCAATAATAACTGGGCAAGTATTTAGAGGGCAATGGCGATCCTCTCTAATTCTTCATGTGTTTAGTAGCAACGCATGCCCGATGTTGACAATTACGCGCATTCTTTTATTTATAAATTTTTATTTTATTTATGAATGGAAGATTACACTTTCGTGTATATTTTATTCATAAGAAATAAGGTTAGCCAGTTTAACCTTCCCCATGCCTTCTAAATAACGCATTCCAGGTAAAAACCAAAACGGAAGTCAGATACCAGTAGTTCATGCCTACAGTCGTAGCTCCTGAGGAAGCTGAGCTCAGTCAAGTTCAAAGCCAGGCTGGGCAGGAAAGCACAGCACACCGTTACTTCCAATTAACCCACCAAAAGTGCAAGTGGAGCCGTGGCTCAAGTGGTAGAGTGCCAGCCCCAAGTGACAAAATTAAGGAACAGCTCTCGGGGCCCGAGTTCAAGCCCCGTACCAACACACACACACACACACACACACACACACACACACGTAAAGCTTGAATTCCCATGTTTTACTGCTCATGTTCCTGATTATGAGACTGCAGGTCATAAAATAGTCAGGTCCATGGGCTGGGAAGGTGGCTCAGTGGTAGAGCGCTTGCCTTGCAAGCCTGAGGCCCTGGGTTCAATTCCTCAGCACCACATAAGCAAAAAGAAAAAAGCCGGAAGTGGTGCTGTGGCTCAAGTGGTAGAGCGCTAGCCTTGAGCTGAAGAGCTGAGGGACAGTGCTCAGGCCCAGAGTTCAGGCCCCACGACCAGACCAAAAAAAAAAAATAGTCAGGTCCATCCTAGATAACGTTTTTAAATTTTCATCTAGGCAAAGGAACAATAATGAATAGAAAATGAGAAAGTTCTGTAATTGTTGTATTTTTCACAAGTAATAGGCATGGTGAGCTATCTCCATAGTAAATTATTAAAAGAACCAAGTTGTGAGATAATGTCCTATTATGGGTCAAAATTATTTATACCGTTAGCAGTATAAAGATTATGTGTGTGTGGGGGGGAGATTCTTATGAACTGTATCATTAGCCTGGCCACATCATGAAAGGGAAGAAAAAAGGAGAGAGTTTAATGACATTTGTATCAGCTTTGAGGCTGTCAACCTTGATGATGTCCTTGGGGCCTTGAACTTTTTGGCCTTCCAGACAGCTGTGCAGCCCAGGCACTGATGGCTCACTCCTGTAATCCCAGCTACTCAGGAGGCTGAGATCTGAGGATTGCTGTTAGAGGCCAGCCCAAGCAGGACAGTCAGTGAGATTCTTATCGCCCATTAATCCCTCAAAAAGCCAGAAGTGCTGCTGTACGTAGCTCTCTCGTGGTAGAATGCTAACCTTGAGCAAAAGGAGCTTCGTGACAGAGCTCAAGCCCATGTAAATGTTAGTGCATGTACACTAAAATGAAGTAATACTCAAGGGCTCAAAGCTCAAGCTCAGAGCCCAGGACTGACCAAAAAAAAATGTTCTAGTTCTGTGACAGAAGCCACTGGTATCGCAGAGAAGGGAGAAGAAAGATACAGCATGTGCCAAGTAAATAGCACCAAACAGTTAGGACAATTGGGCTTCATAAGGGAAGGTCTGGGTTCTAATCCCGTCACCCCACGGAAACTTAGCAAATTTATTCTGCAAAGGAATATTTCCATTTTCATCTGCCCACACACGTTTTAAAGACTGGAGGTAATAGTGCATATTTTTTTTAATGTGAACCCCTTCTATTGAGAAATGGTTTCCTTAAACCGTTTTTGAAGCCTGTGAAACTTCTGTAGGTTTTCCTGTGTCAGGCAATGGCTTTTAAACTCTGTGATACTTCAGAATCTCCTGGGAACACTGACTGAAATACAGGATGCTACAGGGCCTGTGATACGGACCATGCTTAGAAACAAGTCCACAAGAGATGCTGCTGCTGTCCAGGCGGCCCATTTTAAGAACTGTTTATCCATAACCGAGTCTGTACAGTAGATACGCAATACTTCCATGTTTCTGAACTAGACAGACAGGCAGACAGACAGACAGAGTTCGTATGATACCATATTGCCAGAATGATCTTAGGAATTTTTAAATAACTTTTCTCTGAAACCAACAATAGCACTTGAACAGAGGAGTCATAAGAATAATTCATCAAGCCGGGCGCTGGTGGCTCACGCCTGTAATCCTAGCTACTCAGGAGGCTGAGATCTGAGGATCACGGTTCAAAGCCAGCCCGGGCAGGAGAGACTGTGAGACTCTATCTCCAATAAACCACCAGAAAACCGGAAGTGGCGCTGTAGCTCAAGTGGTAGAGCGCTCACCTTGAGCTGAAGAGCTGAGGGACAGGGCCCAGGCCCAGAGTTCAAGCCCCACGACCGACAAAAAAAAAAAAAAAGAATAATTCATCATAGTAGTTCATGGATTGTATAAATCCACCAAACCACAGGATCAAATTATAACTCACAAATAACCCACCTAAAAGTCAGGTGTCACCTTAAAAAATCTTTTTATTATTTAATAGTCATACAAAGGGGTTACCATTTAACAAAGTCATTTTATACCATTGACCAGCCACCATATCTTTCAAATGGATTTCTCTCAACATTTATGGATAAATATGTACATACCATTGCTGTAGATGTTTGCTAACACGTGTTTTTCTCTCCCCTAATTAACCCATTCAGTTAAAGATTGTTTTGTGTTCAGTAAATCATCCTATTATTGGTAAATAGTTAACTCATAAACAAGTAACTAAGTAGAAGCCAAACTTGTGCTCTGCAGTAAAATCTCTAATTTCTTTGTTTACTAATGTCCAGGTGCCAGTGGCTAATGCCGATGATCCTAGTTACTCATGTGGTGGTGATCTTAGGATCGCAGTCCAAAGCCATCATTGGTGGGAAATTCTGTGAGACTCTTACCGCCAGTTAACCACCCCAAAGTTGGAAGTGGAGTAGTGGCTCAATTGCCAGATACCAACCTAGAGCAAGAAAACTAAGAGAGAATGGGAGGGCTGGAGCTCAAGCCCCACTATTAGCACACATGTGCACGGGCACGCGTGCACACACACACACACACACACACACACAAACATGTACGAAAAAGGGGCACCCTATTCCAATTGGAGAGTGCAGGAAGTGAATGAACCAGCCTTCTCGGCAATGTTTTAAAAAAGTGGTGCTGTGTTATTAATTTGATTCTTAAATTGTGTGATATAAAGTTTGGTGATTCTGCATCCATGAATTTGTGTAGGAATTATCTAAGAGCTACTATAGAAAGGTATGCAATTGAGTTAAAACTGTTTGACTATACAATAACTGTAGGCCATCAATCACACCCAGATGTTGATACCACATGTAGTATACTCTAAGGAAAATGCCAAGCACACAGTATCATATACAAATAAGTAGAACATATTTGGACAATGTCAATTGTGTTTATTCTCATTTTTAGATCAAATCCAAAAGTGTTTTGTCTGAAACCCAGAGAAAGTCAGGAAATGTTCTGTTTTCATATGTCATTTGGAGACTCTGTCTGACCAGAGCTAGGTAACTACTTAAATCCTTCATCTTGGATGTCCTTTACCCAAAAGTAGAAAAATGTTTCAGATTTCAGGTCCCTTCTTGGAGGTGAGAAAAACAAAAACAAAACTAAGCCGGGAACCTGTGGCTCACATCTGTCATCCTAGCTACTCAGAGGGCGAGGGTCTGAGGATCAAGGTTCAAAGCTGGTCCAGGCAGGGCAGGAAAGTCTCCAATATATCAAAAGAGCCAGAAGTGGAGCTGTGGTTCAAATAATAGAGTACCAGCTTTAAGGAAAAGATGCTCAAGGACAGTGCCCAGGCATTGAGCTCAAGCCCCAGGACCAGCACAAATAGAAAAGAAAGAAAGGATGGAAAGGAAGGGAGGGAGGGAGGATGGAAGGAAGGGAAGAAAGGAAGGAAAGAAGGGAAGGAAAGAAGGGAAGGAAGGAAGGGAAGGAAGGAAGGGAAGGAAGGAAGGAAGGAAAGAAGGAAGGAAGCAAGCAAGGAGGGAAGGAAGGAAGGAAGAAGGAAGGAAGGAAGGAAGGAAGAAAGGAAAGAAGGAAGGAAGGAAGGAGGGAAGGAAGGAAGGAAGGAAGGAAGGAAGGAAGGAAGGAAGAAAGGAAAGAAGGAAGGAAGGAAGGAGGGAAGGAAGGAAGGAAGGGAAGGAAGGAAGGAAAGGAAGGAAGCAAGGAAGGAAGGAAGGAAAAGAATGAGGCAAGGAAGGAAGGAAGGAGGGAGGGAAGGAAGGAAAGGAAGCAAGGAGGGAAGGAAGGAAAAGAATGAGGCAAGGAAGGAAGGAAGGAAGGAGGGAAGGAAGGAAGGAAGGAAGGACTAAAATCCCACCTGCCTCCTAGTTTTAAATGAACGTTGTAATGTCTCTTAACAAATGTGAATAGCATGAAGAATAGCGTTTAAAGACTGTTTCTTCCAGGTGGAAGCCCTGTGTACAGCCTGCCCTGGGCTGGGAAGGTGTAGCCCCTAGCTAGCGGTGGCCCGAGGTGCCCGGCTGTGCCCGGAGCGAGGCGGGCCCGGTGGGGGGCCCCGTCAGGTGGACGCTGTGACCAGCCCTCCCTTCTCACGGCCCCGTTCCACGGTCGTTGCAGGATGAAGTAGCACAGCCACTGAACCTATCCGCCAAACCCAAGACCTCCGATGGCAAGTCGCCCACCTCGCCCACCTCCCCACACATGCCAGCGCTGAGACTAAACAGCGGGGCAGGCCCCCTCAAAGCCTCGGTCCCCGCTCCCCTGGCCAGCCCTTCAGCCAGAGTTAGCACAATAGGTAAGTGCTGTCTCCCTCCTGTCCTTGCTGATTCCCCCCCCCACCTTCCCCCTTGGCGGTGATTGATTGGATGAGATCACATCTCTGATGATCTCTGATGTCATACAGAACCCCAGGCCCAGATCGGGCTCAGCTAGGAATCTCAAGTGGAATTACCCCCCCACACACACACCTGTTCAAACACACCAAGGAAATTGGCCAATGAAGGGCCAAGCCTGTAATCTTCTTCGGGAGGTGACGGTGCATGTCTCCTGTGTTTATATGTGTTAAGTTTTGTCTTTCAAGTTTATCAGAGAGAGAGAATGACCTCAGTCGCCCTAACTGACTAATAGTCATATTCCCAGGCTGCCGTGGTTAGAGAACCTGCCTTTCCTGTCGCCTGGCGCACACCGCGTAGGTAGTAACGAGACGCATCATGTCTAGATCAGCTGCTGCCCACCAGGATGGGTTCTTTCTTCTGATCCATTCTGCTTGAAGAATGCTGCCTGGCTTTGACGGAAGTAGTGTGGAGTATTGTTATTACTAGAGTGCTCCCACAGGCAGACAAATTTCAACAGTTTTTTGTTTCATGATATATAGCTAAATTTGCACACATGTACTTAATTCAACACACATTGATTGAATGTTTATTACTCACATAAAATTAGGGAGCGGCTAGACATACTGGCCATCAAATAGTCAGCTTAAGTTTACATTGGAGAAAAGCTATTTATGCTATAACCCAAAATGGCTACAGCAAGAGCGAATCCAGAGCCTCGTTACAAATCTGCAAGCCAAGAGAGGTGCATGTCTGATTCTATTTGGGAAGAATCAGAAAAGACTAACTTTGAGATAGCATAGTCTAACCTAAGCTTTGCAGTACAAACACGTTCTTGGGCATTCTGATCTGTAAGGGGAAAAAAAAGGAGTAATATAATGTTTGAGAAATGCACTGATTTTGATAAAGTATCAAGTGCCTAGGTGCTAGAAAATGGAAAAAGCTTAAAACTGAAATCAGATGATTCATTCTCCTAAGGAATTGGGGTTTCTTCTCCAGATAGCAGAGGATCAGAACTTTGCAAAGAGCATCAATAACAGAAAAAAAAGCTCCTGGAATCAGGAAACCATTATCCTAAAGTAAATGAGCAAGAGTGCTTTGCACAGGATAGAAATAAATGGTGAAGCAGGACACTGGTGGCTCACGCTTGTAATCCCAGCTACTCAGGAGGCTGAGATCTGAGAATCGCAGTTCAGAGGCAGCTCATCAGCAAGTCCGGGAGACTCTTCATCTCCAGTGAACCCCCAGAAAACCGGAAGTGGAGCTGTGGCTCAAAGTGGTAGAGCGCTAGCCTTGAGCAAAAGAGCTCAGGGACAGTGTCCAGGCCCTGAGTTTAAGCCCTACAACCAACCAAAAAATAATAAATAATAATAAAGAAATAAACTGTGATAAAAGGGAGGAGTCAATAGGAAAGAAACTATTTAAATGAAAATTGACACAAGTCATCCACAACCAAATATAGGTGGGGTAAGGGTCAAAGGAGTCTAGCTTTTTGAATTTTTGAAGTAATGATTGTGTCTCCTTTAATTGTGGAAGAGAACACCCACGTGGAGCACAATTTGGAGAAGGACATAAATACAAATGCGGTACGGTGTCAGAAGCGGCGCATAATGAAGCATTGGGGTACTGATAATGCCATAGCCTGCTAGAGAAACAGGGTGTGTGGCAGCCAAGAGGAGATAAAGTTTCCTGGAAAAGGAAGGGCCTGCGTAAGAAGTCAGGAATCCCAGTTGCAACCTATAGTTTCCATTTCCCATTGTTGCATGAAAAAAAAGCCCTAAAACTTAGCCACTTTAGACAACCAGCATTGATGTCCTCACATGGCCCGAGGAGCAGTTCAGCTGGTTAATGCCAGCTTAGGATTCGCCATGATCCTGGTGGAGACACGGGCCGCAGCCCGTGGGGATCGGATGGTCTATATCCAAGATGGCTTCCCTTACTCAGCTCTGGTTTGGAGACCTCAGCTCTTTGCCACATAGGTCTGGCCCTCTTCTCCAAGGGCAAGATCTGAGAGAGAGAGAGAGCAACAAAGCTCTAGTTCCTTCTCTGACCTGTGGCTACAATCTCACAGGGTTCTGCTTGATTCTTCTCATTATGAGACCCAGAACAGCCCCACTCCATGGAAATAGAATTAGGCTCCAACTTTTAAAGGAAGAACCATTGGGCAGGTTGTAAAACCACCACAGGTTTCTCCGTAGGAAAGCTAACGGGAAGTAACATCCCAGCCTGGGAAAACTGTACATTTCACCAAAAGAAAGGGTATTTAATGATGGCCAATCCCACAGCAAGTTGGAGCGCGAAGAAGAAAAGCCTTAGGAGTTAGCCGGAGTTCACAGATAGGTAGAGTTTGACAAAGAGGATTTTAGTAGAATTGCAGGCTTCCGATGACAAAGATTCAGAGTATGAGCAAAGACAGTGCTGTTGATGATGTAGGCTAATCTTTTTGGTAAATTTTGTAAATTGGGAAGTGACTATAGGAAATGAGAGTAAAAGGTGTATCTGAATGAAAAGAGTCAAGAGAAAGAATTAGCTTTAGAAAAGAGAAAAGTGCATCTTTTATCTGAGACTGAGAGAAATAATGAGGAAAAAAAAAATGTTCCAGGTTCAGAGAAAGTGGGGACCGGATAGAGCGTTGATTTGAAGGAGTGAATTTCAAATGCTTTAATCCCCACAGAGTAGAATTTGAGATGATTGGTGTAGAGGAATTCAGCATTGGGCCAAGGCAGGGCAGCTGTTAGAAGAGACATAGAGAAAACTGAAGTTTAAAGAAGTTTGAAAAAGTTTGGGATACAAATGTACTCTTTCATCATTATGCTAGAATGCTGGTATTCTGCTTTGCATTCTAAATGGCCAGACGGGAAGATTTGCTTTTATGTACGAAGTATGTAACAGAGAAAATATTTTATTTGGCAAGGATTCGCTAGGCCAATATACACGAAGGCTCATAAATATCAGTGTTGATATTTGACTTACTTTTGCCATGTTATCGGAACTAAAATATTTAACTATTGAATAAGTAGTCTAGAGATATCTTATCGTATATAGAGAGTTGTGTTTTCAATTCAGGACTTTAATTCAGCATTCCCAAAGATGGCATAGGATTTTATAAAGGTAAGACATCATACCATGACATTTATCCTATAACTTTCTCCGCTCATGACCAAAACACAATTTTTTTTTCCTGGAAAAAAAATATTTTCTTTTTTTCCAAGGTATTGAGGCCACTGCAATTTACTTTTTTTCTTTTCCAGTGCATGCAGATGTTGAAAGCTAACACTGTAATGAATAGTAATGTAGTTAGGTAAAAGATGTGAGGATTAATAGTGTTGGAAAGGTCACCCTGAAAGAAGAATTAATGTGTTATGCCATTAATAAACCATGCAAAACTGTGGACCAAAAGATCACTAAAGTTATCATTAATGACATAAGGGCTCTTTTCTGTGTATCTATTAGCTACAAACAAAGTGACTTTTCAAGGTTGGTGACTAATATCCCAGTGTGTTCTATAAGAACGCTTTTGATTGATATGCAAACAAGAGGCCATGTAAAAGAAAGGTTCCTTCAAAGGAATGAAAAGCCCAGCACTGTGGCTCTGCCTGTAATCCCAGCTGCTCCGGAAGCTAATATCTGATCATCAAGGTATGACGCCCATGTGGGCAGAAAAGTCCACGAGGTTCTAACCTCCAATAAACCGGCGATAAAAGACCAAAAATGGAGCTTTGGTTCAAGCGATAGAGCTCTAGCCTTGAGAGATAAAGCCAAGCAAAAACATGAGGTCCTGAGTTCAAGTCCCAAGACAATAAAATAAAGGCAGAGTGACAGATCGTTTTAGAACTGTTCTGCCTACTTGGTATTTTCCCCACACAAACCTTTTCATCTACATGACACATACATATAGCACTTTAAACCTTTTTTCCAAAGCATTTTTCAACTGTTTTCTTACTTTAGTTAGTCTACAATTATAGACACTTCACCAGATAGACTAAATATCCATATACCATATACTCAAAAAATTTTATTTTAGTCGAGCACTGGTGGCTCATACCCATAATCCCAGCTACTCAGAAAGCTGAGATCTCAGGATCATGGTTCAAAGCCAGCCCAGGCAGGAAAGTCCATGAGACTCTTACCTCCAGTGAACCACTCAGAAAACTGGAAATGGAGCTGTGGCTCTCGTCTTGAGCAAAAGAGCTCAGGGACAGTGCCCCACAACCGACCCCCCCCCAAAAATTCATTCATCCATTTTACACTTATATTGGAGATAACTAAAGAGGCCAAACGCCTATTCTTGCCCAGGAGTTCGAAGTAAGTTCCTTTCAGAGGACAGACAGTCCTATGATTCCATGCTTGTTTCTAATTCGAATTTTTGTTTGTTCTGGTATGAAGGATTGAACCCAAGGCCTCACACTTCCAAACCTCTGCTTCGCCATGACGCTGCCTTCATTTCATTTTTTAAAGCTTATTTTTCACTATCTTTAAGTCGTTGTACAAAGGGATTTCCTATGAGTCCAATTCACCTTGATCAACATAAACAAACATGGCGGACAGTAGAGCTACCCTTTGTCCTTGGGTGCCAGTGAGACCTGTCCTGAGACCCTGATCCCTGAGCCAGCATTCCTTCTCTGTAGGGGGTCTCTCGGTATCGGATGTTCTTCTCCATCATTTACACTTTCACTCATCCATGTCCATGGGTGTTACCATGCCCAGCAGACAGAGCAGGCAGAAGTCCCAGATGAACGCTCCGAGTATTTCCACCCTCTGTCCTGTTGTACTTCCCATTCCTCCCAAGTGAGGATACAGCTCTACCTTTATACTTATGGTAGACACGTGTTGAACAAATTGTGGGAAAGAATGCATTCAGGCTCATTCATTGGAGATGTTGTTTCTATCCTTTTTTAGTTTTAAATATGGCAGCATCAAAGAGGAGAGTGCCCTGAATTGGCACTCTTTTTTTTTTGCCAGC